GCGCAGGGGATGTTTTGGTTTGAAAAGAGGGGGACCAGCGAGAGGACGAAAGGGAAGGGGAAGGAGGAAGAGAGAAAGAGAGGGAGGTGCCACTTTTGAATGAAGCACGCTTCTTCCAGGTCGCAGTTAACTTGAAGCAGCTGTGCAAAAGACGGTGCCGCAGACATGTGCAAAAGAACAAACACGTACACAAACAGTTCCTCTGACAGCTGCCTTTTTGATCAACAGAATACAGTAAAGTAACAAAGCCCGGGGCAACATAAACCCCAAGCAATAGACAGCTGTCTGGGGTGCAGGGCCGAGAACAGTAATATCCTGCTAGAACGCACTGAAATGCATCAAAACAAACACAGACAACACCGGCAACAAAACCAGTGAAATACGATCCAGCTAACCTGTCAGGGCCTGGGAAGGGGAACTCTTACTTAGGCAATCTGGATTAGTATCAACTGAGAACTCTAATAGTGATAGTTCGGTATCCATTTACAGTAATGAGGATATTGTCAATATTTAAACAACAACCAAATGTGCCAAAAAAGGGAAAATATCCCACTTCAACAAACACTGTCATACACACTCTCATGCACATGTAACAGATAGATGAACTATGATGTCAGCCTGATATGGGCCATAGTTCAAGGGCCAAAAAGGGCAGTGGCTCAACATGGCTACCAAATGCCTCAGTCGGGACAAATGGTACAGATCTGTAAATAAAATTTCAGAGGGCTTCCTCTCGCCAAACAAAGAAGCTGCAACGTAGGAAGGCCAGATTATTTTTCCCTGATCTGCATTCAAGTCTACGGTCATCTCCGTGTTTTCTGATGACAACAGCTAATCAACTAATTCCAACCCACTTGATTATGTGTTAATCTCCCAGATTAGTACAGAAGACAGGGGTCGGCTTCCACATTACTGTGAGATGTTACATGTACGGGCTGGACTGGATCAGTGGGCTGATGGTACTTAAGCAGTTTTGAGGTAAGAAAAGAGTAGATGTTTTGAGAATGAGAAGGAAAAAAAAAAAAGACAGAAAAAGCACAAAGTGAGAACATGTGAATCAAATGTGATTGTTTAAATCAAATCAAGCTACACAAAGAGGCTACACATCTGAGCAGAACACCACTATGCACCTGCCAAAGGTTGTTCAAACACCACCTGAACATAGAAGAATGAAAGGCTCATTGACTGGAGCAGAGATACTCCTTTCACTTCTCTTATTCACTTCTCCTGGCTGCGATAAAGCGGACACCTATTAAAACACACACATTACTCCCATGCTGTGGGTGAAGGGGGAAGACAGTGCGCTATGTGTGTGTATTTTTGTGCATATGCATACATGAACCTACGCGGTGTGTGGAGACAGACAGGCCCTGAGGCATACACCCTAAAGGAACGCACACCCATCACCTGCTGTCATTCATAACACATGCACACGCTGGTCATGCCACTTAAAGTTGTTACAGTGAGTTTGGGAGACATTCCTTGCCCCCGGGCTGCCTCAAAACACACACTTCACATTCCAGCGAGTGTATTCTGGGGACCCACTCCCTAATCCTCCGACATATGCAGACACACATATGCATACCAACGCACACACCAAAATAAAATGACAGAACCAGAGGTTCCATTAAAATCGGAATCCGCAGCCTCAAGTTCATTGCGCCAAAACAAACTGGAGCAATTGTCTCAATTTCCATTTCACTCAAAGTCAGCCCTGAAAGCTTCAATGCGTGACATTGTCTTGTTTTTTTCCCCTCACTCTACATTCCCTAGAAAACTGCTTCACTACCAGGTGAAAATGACATCCAGAAGTTATTATTCTCCCTGGTCATTGACGGGAGGCTTGCAGCTTTCTCTCTGCTCCCCTGTGAGCCTGTTAAAGTGCAATGTTGTCTGGCTGTAGGTCCGTCCCTGGCTTTGATGTAACAGAGAAACTCACTTAACCATGGGAGGCACCACCTCGTGAAAATATGAGCTCTGTTTGTGAACACAGGTTCCTGTGCGTACAATAAAACAGTGTATGCGCCTGTGTCTTACAAGCACAGGTTACAAGCATGTGCTGTTTTTCTCTCAGCTCTCCCTAATGACCTTGCAGGCTGGGCAAGTAAACTTGTTCACTTAATTACAAAGCATCAAGAGTCAGAAGCTGCATGAACTCACTTCGGCCGTGTGTTTTTCTCCATTTTGGCCTTTCATTCACACACTGACTCTGGGTCTTTAATCACAGAAAATTAAGCCATTTGTGAATAAATCTGAAAATACTGGAAGCTGAAAATAAAGCCTTATTGAAAATTTCAGATAGAAATAATAGTCATTGAGCCCTGGACATGCCCAGTAGATTTTTGATTGCTCCAATGTTTCTGTGTGAACAGGAAACTTCTAACACCCTAAGAAAAGGCCAAAGTGGATGGGAAAATTTCAACATCTAATTTGTGTTTTCAGATTTGTCTGCACTTGCGTGGACATGTTTGTGTGCTGAAGAATAATAATTCCTGCTCATGAATCATGATTCATGCGGGCGTGATAACATTATCAACAGGCCGTTGACCCTTCTAACACATCCAGCGTCTGAGTCAGCAGAGCGTGTTTCCAAAACAACTTAATCTGTCTTTGACTCTTAGCCCCTTAACTCTCGCACAATAGACAAACCCTGTTTTTGTGCGGGATGAAGATTGTGTTGCATTTGTGAATGTGTCTCTCCTTATTGTTGCTGGGATGCAGAGAAAATGTTACATTATGTTACGACCAGGTAACGTAAATAGCAAACATTTTATTTGGCAAAATGTCAAAGTTAGAAGGCACTGGGATTACCAGCAGACAGGTGCCACTTGTCAAACCTGATTATTTCTCAACAGCATGGCGAACGTGCAGTTTCTCTCCACTCCTCCATACAGATGGATATAATCGCGATTTGTTCATCAAAAACATTACGGACTTCAGCTTCAATTACTACAGTATGCAGCGTCTCTAATGAAGCAGCTGGTGGCCAGAAACTGTTACAGCCTTCAACCAATCAGAGCCGCCAGTGACCAACACTTCCCATGCACAGCTAAATGACATCAGCTATGACATGAGCCTGGTCTGAATCACATTGCCTGAGTTGCCATTTTCATTTCATTAAAAGAAACCGATAGCATTTGGGTGCGACGCGCGCTAATGAGTGATGTCACCAGCTCGCAAATCAGCTGTTTGGATGAGGTTGTGTTGTGTGAACCAGGGGTGAATCTAGATAGGGGTGGTCGTGCTGAGAGGGCTGTTTGTATAGTGTTCGGATGACAAATCACACGCACACACAGGGATAGGGATTAAGTTGATGTTGGATTGCATTCAATATGACTAATGGAGTTGATCAAATCTTTGTGTTGGCGGGAACTGGTTAGCTAATGATGCATGTTTTATGTTTGATTAAAGACACACATGCTGACACCCACAAAGCTGGTTTACGTGTGCAAAGAGTCACCTCTGGCTTCAGTCATATAGTTTGGTGAATGAGTGAACTGTGTGTGCGTGCGTGTGTGTGTGTGTGTGTGTGTGTGTGTGTGCGCACACGCTTGTCAGATTTTATGTATTTGGCCATTTATCAGTCTTTTGACAGCCAGTCTGTTTAAGCACACATGCCCAACTCAAACACAGATAGTTGGTCCTGTGGGACGTAACTGTGTGTTGGTGAGTAAGATGGCTTAAAGTGTTTCTGTCTGTTGGTGTGTGTGTGTGTGTGTGTGCATGTGTGCGTGCGTGCACGTCTAATGCTCTGATATTAGGCCACTCTGCTCTAATGGGTTTACATAAAGGGTCGATGGATGCTATAGGGGTCAGCTGACCAAAAAGAGCAAAGCTGACCCCCACTACCCCCACAAACCCCTTCACACACACACATTGAACCAATACCCTAAGAGCAGGTCTCTGTCTGTCCATGTTGTCTTGATGCATCTATAAAGCAAATCAGCTCCAGGATTGTTCCTAGAAATAATTCTCAACAGATTTTTCTTTTTCTATGTTCTCCACTTAACAAACAAGTCTTTTCATGCTGCTACATTTCCTCAGTCACCATCCGCAGCCCACACGCATCAATTGACCTACATTTGCCCACACATTAAGACATACAGTTAGATAATTCTCACACTGCGTGGGCATAAAGATGATTTGGAGGAGGCTTGCTGCTTTTCACCCAATCGCAGCAGATATATACGGGAGAAGGAGTCGTTCAGAATGTAGGTCAGCCGTCCAGGAGAATGCGGTCCGGTCCCGCAGCGGATCAATCAATACTAACACACCCACCCACCCACCACCCACCCACTCACTCACTCACGTACAGACATACATGCATGCATGCATACCTGCCTCTGCTGACTGAGCCACCAAACACCAGCAACCACTTGTCATCGCATTTCTGCTTAAGACAATAGACATGCCAGCAGCAGAGCGTAAAATGCTGAAACACTTAAGGACGCGCGTGCACCCTCATGCGCGTACACGTCCCCATGCTGCATTGACACTATGCTCATTAGGTGATTTGCAGCAATGCATTCCCTGTGATAGAGATTCCTATTAGGGCACGAAAATCAACCTGCCTTTCAGTGGCTGTCTCTAACAGAACACAGTGCTGATTCAACATATGCCTTTGCGCATTGACGTCTGTGCCTATATATGCTGTAGACTATAGCTCCATCGATATGCCATACCAGCAGCCCATCCTTTAGCCGGCGTCTGGACTGAGACACAATATCCTACAACAGGCTAATCTGAGCGCATGCCAGTCACAATCATGAAACGTGCCACCATGCAGCTGTTGGAGTTTTATCAATGAGACATGCTGCTGCTGCTGCTGCTTTTTACGCACCGGTTCCGCCGGAGCTTCTACAACCCCATTCACCCCCATCAGACACCTCCCAACTGTCTCACGTTTTACACAATCAAAAGCAATGTCACCAGCACGTGAAGTGGCTTCTCATCCGGCATTCTCGGTCACATCACACGCGGGCTCTGGCCTCATCCATTACCTTGACAGAAAGTGCATTGTCCTCCCCGCGCGCCGTGGAGCCGGGAGCTGCAGCATTTTGCCGTTCAGCACGCGCCCGCTCATTCTACAAAACCGTCCAGCTTTCACGCCGCTTTGTTCCCGTTTGGCATCGCTTATCCCAAGAGAGAGAAGGTGGAGAGAGAGAGAGGGAGAAAGAGAGAGAGAGAGAGTGAAAGTCCGCCCGGTGCTTTCCGCCGCTGATAACCGGGGAACCGCCTGTACGAGTCAGCAGCGTTAACTGACTGACCCACTCCCGCAGTGCCTCCACTCTGACACACCCTCTCTCTCTCTCTCCCTCTCTCTCTATCTCTCACACCCTCACTCTCACACACACCCACACACAGACACACACACACACACACACACACACACACACGGAGGGACGGAGGAAGGGAGGGACGGAGGGATAGAAAGGCAACACCCCAAATTCCTCCTCCTCCAGACCCCGTTTCACTGATCGCGACCAGCTGTGCCTTTTCCAAAAAAGCGCTTCGAGGCTTTCACGCGCATTCAGCCGCAGGATATCCATGCAGTCATCACATTCTCTAAAGCGACATGTCAAGAGACATTTTCACACTCTCAAATCTCTTATCAACACACAAGACACACCCCGCCCACACCACTCACTCAACCCTATGATACCGAGTCAATGCCACATTCAAAACTGGCATTAGTTTTAATATTGATCTAGATGAAGAATTTGTTTCATTTACTCCTTTAGCGACTTGAGTAACAGTCAGGAAGTAAAAATGGTCCACAGTGCTGCAGTACTAGCTCTTGTTATGTCATCTATATAGGCTAGCATTTATTTACATTTTAGGCTACTATTTCGCTGCATTAAATAGTTCTTTTTCTTTCTGTTCTTTCTTTCTTTTCTTTCTTTCTTTCTTTCTTTCTTTCACAACAGTTTTTCTTACAAACCCTCGGCACCACTTTCTTATTAGTAAGGGGTTTATAATATAATAACAATGGCCTCACTAATAGTTGATGAGTCATTTATTAATTCTTTATTGATCAGAAAACGTACTATTTGTAGGAAAACATTTGGGTTGCCAGGTGAAAATTCTTTTGGCCGGGAACATCCTTCTTCAGCAAAACTTGCTTTGCCTTTTTAGCTCTTTATTTAATTAGAATGACACTCCAATGGATGTTTCAAGGTCCATAACTTCTGGGAAAAGAGCTGCAGAGTATCTGGACCAAAATCCCCTTAGCTGCAGAGTTGGTAACTTATTTTAAAATGAGTAAATTATTAAGCCTAACCCTAACCCTTGAGGTTTCATTTTAAATGCTGCAGTCAGTGAAGCTGGAGTTAATTTTAACTACCTGATACCCTGATATGAATACTTTTATTAAGAACCAATAATGCAGCGGAAATGCTCAGGTCAAGTCAAGTTATATAGGCACCATTTTATGTATATTTGATCCTTCATTCAAGTTAATGTGCGATAGAAAGGACAACATTTCCCAGTGACATGTAGATGAGAATAAGAATAAAGGGGAGTTTTCCAGTAGATCACCTTAACCTTAAGTACAGTAAGTTTCCATTTCTTACACTTTGATTTATTACACGTGAAAATCTTTCAACAGTTGCCCAAGGTCTTGGAGAAATGCTGGCTAACAGCCAAACTGTCGCTGGCATAAATAAGCCTCAATCAGGATGTAATGAAGCAGGGAGGGTAAATGACTCTAGTGTTCCTATTGTAACAGAGTGTGTATTGGCTATTGGAGACTTACAGAGGAACAGAGTGGGTATCATGTATCCACTCCCACCGAGCTCTGCCCCCTCACAACATCCAGTGGTGTTTAAACACTTTACGCACTGAGTGGACCCTGGTGAATAGATGTGCCTGTCTGCTGGGTCTGTTCAATAAATGAATGAAGGGGGAGAAAGAGCGAGACAGACAGTAAGAAGAGGGGGGAGATGGAGATAATTAACACTGTCTTTTCAGTGATGACTGGAGAAAGAAAATGGTGTGAGTGGCGGAGAAAGAAAGACAAGAGAAAGAAATAGAGAGATCGGAGAAAACACACCCACAGAGAGAGGAAAAAAGAGATCATTAACACACTCTTTTTAAGTGCAGAGGGAACAAAGGCAGGATTCTTCAGGCTACTGCTCACCCGTACCATGCAGGACCAGGTGGGCACACAGTGTGTGTGTGTGTGTGTGTGTGTGTGTGTGTGTGTGTGCATGGGTGGGGGGGGGGTCTGATTGGCACATTGGCATGCTGAACTGCAGGTGTGTGGAGACGCTGCCATCGTTGTTGCCCAGCGTTACTAATAAAGAGAAAGGAAAACAGTTTCTATGTGCACACAAACACTCGCACGCACACACACTCTCTCACACACACACACACACACACACACACTTGAAATCCTCTTCAAGCCAGTGTGAGCTTTTTCCTTTATTTATGTCAACACTCATCCCAGTTTCTGGAAAGTGTAGCTGGACAGCGCTCTGCGTCAGTCTGGCCAGCTATTACTTTGACTGCTGACTCATGTCCAGACATGCCCCCCCCCTGTCTGTGCCTCTCTGTTTATTTGCTTCTCCCCATCAAAGAGCGACTCTTTCATAGCCTCCTTTTCACTCAGTATCTAAGGCCACACTGCTCGTCTTCAACATCCGTGTATGTGTGTGTGTGTGTGTGTGTGTGTGTGTGTGTGTGTGTGTGTGTGTGTGTGTTGGTGCAGTGGGCCAGTATAATTAGGTGGTGATGTAACTGTGTAATGACAGTATACAGGCAGGGTCATCCATTTGACCCTGGGAACCTGTCACTTCTCTGCTGATGAAAGAGACAAGAAACCTGGGAAAGCTCATCCCCCTTATCAGACCAGGAACACACACACACACACACACACACACACACACACACACACACACACACACACACACACACACACACACACGCAACACTTGTTAAGCCACATACTGTATATAAACAAACATGAAACACCCCCTAACACACATTTATCAGACTGGAATACTCCTCTTCATTTTCACACAGATATTTCTTGGTTACTTTAGTAACTTTTCATTTCCTCCAATGTAACTGTCAGCCCGGAACCTTCCCACCACAACACTTGCTTTCCTCACTCTCTTCCTCAATCACAACGTCATTTATTGTCCTGCAAAACTCAAGTTTCCTGTTTCCTGTTTTCCCTTCACTGTCATGAAGAATGTGAAGTGATCTCTAGCACATATTCTCTTAATCTCAATCTCCTTACTACCATTTTAAGAACTTCTTGTCCATGTCGGCTGTGGGATCAACGTTGGGACTGAAAGATGAAAGATAAAATTTTTATTAAATTCAAAAATATTTTACTAGAGATGTTCTGATACCGTACCGATACGATACTTGAACTTGTGTATCAGTTGATACCGAGTATCGATCTTGATATTAATTAATCAATTATTATTACTATTAATTGTTATGGACCTATTAATGGACCTTGTGGTGAGACTGTTTAACCAACAGCAGTTTGCTTACATTGTCAGCACTGTCGATCGAATCTGACCAAACCAGACTCACACAGTCCTGATGAAGCAGTTTTTAACTGTTAAACTAACTCAACTAACTAAATAATGCTTGCAGATTTCTTCTTTTCGTTTTTTTTTTTTTTGGTAACTTTAATCTTGATTGATGTGCATTTAGTTATGAATATTTAATCTTACAGAGAAGTACTTTGGATGCTTTCTTCAAAGGGTTTTCAAGGTCCAACATGTGAAGAAGTACTTTGGATATGGAATAGGAATTTCTTTCATTTCCACAGTAGAAGCTGAATGTTTAGTTACTCTGTTCACACCACAAAGGTAAATATGTGTGATGACTTACGAACCTGTATCTTAATCATGAAATGAGTACTCAGATATATGAATATGTAAAAAGAATCTGTCCCCATACACACTGTCTGGTTTCCTGGCAAATACCTTCCTCCCTCAGAGGAAGAGTCAAACCATAGTTTGTATACGAGCCTGCATGCTCAGTCTATTAGCTCACTAACAACAGACCAAGGTTTTAAAAACCCAAACGCTGAAAACGTGACCTCACAGTGACACACTCAAGGTTGAACATCAAAGCCTGTATGTCCCAGTCTGAGAATTTGCTCTTGTGGTTAATTGAGGGACCCTCCATGCCTGGACCACCAAAAGCATCTAATTAGGCCCTTGCTTGGAGAGGACGCTATTCTCTGAGCTCTTGTTTGCTGAGGACAATATGAAGTGGGACTGCTCAGAAAACTTGACTTCAAAGATGCTTTCTCCCTCATGGCACACAAAAGAAAGACAAAACAAAAAACAGCCAGCAAGCTAGAGAGTTAAAATATGGCTCAACAGGTTGCTCCTGCCAGTTCAACCCATGTCTCCTGGGAAAATAATGAGGATATGTTCACTGTTGGGAGCACTGGTGCACACAGGAAAGGTTGAGATTAAGAGATGGTGTAATGAGGAGAACAGGAAGGGAGCATGATGGCAGGAGGGCAAAAAGAAAAGTGTGTGACTAATGTCCAAACAGCTCCAGAGAATAACACGGTGGGAGTCAATGGGAGGGAAGGAAGGTTAAGTCTTATGCGCATTACAAACCCCCGTCACACCCCACTGTTAAACTACCAAGGCTCAGCACTAGTGTGCATATTCTACGTATGTGTGTGTGTTTGTGAGTGTGTGTGCAGCATAGATTTGAGACAGCTTCTATCCAAAGCTCCTAAAAAGCTTGTCCTTAACCATGCAGTTTCATTTACCCCCTGTAGAGGAACTAAGAATGTACTTTAAAGGCTGTATAGATGTAGAGGGAGGGTAGGAACGAGCGAGAGCAAGGTGAGGCTGTGTGTGTGTGTGTGGGTGTGTGTGGTGGAGGGGGAGACTGTTGTACTGTGGGAACCAATCTTCTGAGAAATGAACCTGATCATTTCCTCAAACTCCTCTCTTAATAACAGAGAAAGCATTCATTTAACACTGAAAACAGTGCTTGACACAAAAATGATTGTAGTAGTAGCAGTACTAAATCTAACCACGCAGATATACTGCAAATTACATACATTGAATATGTTATTCAGTTTAATTTGCCCAAGTTTTCAAGTATCCATCTCTGAAATTTCTACTGCCACACCAATACAATTAAGAAAACAAACAGAGTACCAACAGGTGAGTTAGTTCTTGACTTTGTAATAG